CAGCTGTAAAGAGGAATCCAGTATCCAGTATCACGACAAAGCCATATGATGTACAAGATGTTTACTGTTAATGTGCACACCGACCAGATAGCCACAAAATGTATAATATTGCGGGATGTTTTCTCATATTCTGTTTTTATGCCCAATGTTTCTAAAGTATGGTCCGCTATACTATTTCTCTTAATTATGTTGTTCATATTCTTTAAATGTCGAAATTTATTAATAGATTAATAAATTAATTTAATTATATAATTATTCGAAATCATAAAATATCATGATATCAAAGGAAAAAGAATCTACGCGCACAAATGTATATACTTAACATTGTCCTATATTTACAAAAAGGATCTAGCAAAGGAAAAAATTCTTTATTAATATATATATTTTAAAATTAGCTCTGTCCAACATTTCTGTAATTCCATTAATATATCTTTCCATAATTTTTATATACTATATCTGTTTCATGAAATTTTTCATGAAATTTACGTTCGTTACGTACCTCTCTCTTGCACCAGAATAGAATTATAGTCAAGACGGCAACTAAGACATGGACTCCCAAAACAAAATGAAATATTATAAACTCATAAGCGAACGCTTGCTGGAAGATATGAAATCCTTTGTAAAATGTGATGAAATATCCTGTCATTATCGAGATGACATAGAAGATACTCAGAAAATATCGTGGACGATTTATGGGTATTTCGAATATTCCCATGCAAAATATACAATTGAGCCATATAATAGGCATAATTGCCTGCTTCAAATTTTTCACCCTCGACATTATTTTAAACCATCCACTATCAATCTAAATTGAAATTTGTATAATTAGTAATAAATGTGTACTTATGTTAAATAATGCTGTGATTAACACTTTATGAATAAATTTAGATTGTTTTTAAATTTTGCATGCAACTGAACAGTTTTTTCAACAGTTTTGAAATTATAAATCATACAAACAATAAACAGATGACTGAAACCGACACTGAAAATTGTTGTTTAACTGTAAGTGTGACCAAGTTGTCGTAAAATATGAGAAAAAACCGTGTTGCACTTGTTCAACGTTTATAAGGACTAAATTTGACTTGCTCGAGATGCGTGTTATTCTTAATGAACTCTACATTGTAGCTAGTTAGCAACTAATAGCTGATAAGAGATCTCGCGTCCTAAATGCACCAGCTTGCGTAAGTCATGCAATTTCACTTATTACACGTGTTTCACACAAATAGTGTATATTGTACACTTTCGATTACTCATTTGATTGTCTATAGCTTGCCTGACTTTTCCTCGCTTCCGAGAAGCATGTTTAACCAGTGGTAATAAATAATTGTAATCTGCAGCATCATTTTTAATACTTTATCATAATATTACATATGATGAAATAATGATACACTTTTTACGATCTCGATTTTAATTAAATTAAATATAAACAAAAAATTTTAGTTTTACTTTTTGAGCTATACTTATGTAAGTTCTATTAATTGTACAGGTTTAATTTACGAAGATAATGACGAAAAACAATACAAATTAACGTATACAAATGGATTAAGTGTAACATTAATTTTATTATCTACAAAATATAATATAATTGTTGTTTATATAAAAAGAAATTATACACACACATATAATTATATAATATATTTCTATTTAATCTGTTTAAATTACTGAATATCATTTATTGACGAAAAACTAATTTATAATGTATAATTTAGTAAAATAGTTCAAATTTTAAGATCCAACATAAACGCAATCGTATTTTTACTTTTTGATTTAACGTTTCTTTTTACTGTTTTTATTAAATATCAATTTTATAAATAGGAAAATTATCTAAGAAAGATATTATATAAGAAAATAATCTAAGAAATTAATTTTTTTAATGATCTGTGAATGCAATTTTAGCTTAATGTTATGACCTATGAAAACTATAATAATGATCTTGCGATAAATGATCTAGTTTGCACTTTATTGATATGATCTAGAATTGTTTTATTAAAACTTTTATTTTAATTGAAAGTTATATTGAAATGTGTTATGCAATTGTATGATATGATATAAACATGATATGATAAAAATAATATCATTAACAGAATTTTCGTATTTCAGAAAAACTACTTTCTACTGTCATTTTAAATGTAATTGTTTTAATTTTTATTTCTAATACTAACTAATCAGCCGATCAACTTATGCAATATTAAACAATACAAATATAAACATATATATGCATATATCCTTTATGGGCGTCGACTATAGTGTGGTTGATGTGGAGTACTCCACACTCGAAATTTTTCCGTGTGTGGAATTTCACACTTGAAAATCCAAAGAATATAAAAATTCTTGATGAAATAATTTAATATAGATATTTAATATGCTCATTAAAAATAAAAGTCGATTAAATAAAATATGAAAAGTCATATGTTTATAACTCGATCGGCGGTTGCCACTTTCCGACTATCAATCTATTTACTAGTATTTTACTAGTGTCCAATGTCTTTACACGCCTAAGAAAAGGATAACTTTTTAAAAGAAGACATAGCTGTAAGAGAAATTGTGTCAAAATATACAAAAATGATAGAACTGCTTACAATTCCGGCAACATTCTGTACTGCGGAAAGATCTTTTTCAGCTCTTAGGAAATTAAAAAAACATATGTACATTCTCAACAAAGATATTTCTATTTTGTTGAATAGTACGGCTGTTATACATATTCATTCGGATATTTTAAAAAATCTGGATTTAGAAGCTGTAATGGACGAATTTATAAGCAGGAACAAATTTCGGAGTTCTACATTTTCGTGTTCAACGCAAGTAATAGAAGTACAAAGTAATAAAAAACGAACATGACAGGATTTTCAAAGTATATACATATATATATGTATCAAAAAGTATATATATGTCATAAATAAATTTATGCGTTTTTAAGAAGTATGTTGCAAATATATATAATACAACTCACCAAGAAGAGGGATCCAATGAAGAGTAATCCAATATACAATAATCCAATATAAACTACACTACACTAATGATTTTACTACACAAATAAAAAGTGAAAAATAACAATAAAATAATAAGAAACTAACACTACACACAAGTTTAATAATAAAATATAAAGGTACCACAAACCATCGTCAGGTTGTGGACCGTAAATAATAGAACCGCGACCACGACCACGACCACGACCACGATCACGATCGCGGCTCGCCTGATCGAGCCGTTCCAAAATAAAGCCAGGACCACGAGTCCTAGGAGGATCTCCAACACGCGGCTCGGGGAGTAATCCGCGCTCCTGATGGACTACAAAAACCAACATACGCCGCGCCGGGGTTGTACGGTCTGGCGGTAGAGCCTCTGGCACGAATTCATCAGGAACCACTATCCTTCTACCAAAAACTGGCTCAATGTCTGGTATAATAGCACGACACATTACGACACGAAACGCAAACGAACGTAACTGAACGAAATGTCCGAGGCTACTGATGAGACAGCGCACATATAAAGTCTTTCCAAGCGAAAAGGGCAAGGGTGTCGACTTGAGGTTTCGCCAAGTGTGGAGATAGAAGTTCGCGCAGGTAAACTGACAATAGAAAAAAAAAAAAAATAAAGTCCTCGCAAAATGTATATACAACCTGCTGTAAGGAATTACTAGTTTTTTTTTAAGACTGTTGTAATTTTTATATTTTTTCCATATGTATTATATATATTTTCATCACGCATGCACGTAATGTGCCCTATACCTTAACACTTTTGCGTCCGGTAAATAGCCAATACCTCAAGCCGTTAAGTTTTTTCTCTAATCCCACTCTTCTGCGCAAAAATGTTGCTGTATAGGGCACATTACGACGAGCACTTGTAATGAAAAATTCTATATGTAGCGAGTGGGGGCATATTTGTTTATAGGTCGCACCCGTCCCGCGCTATAAACAACTATCCTCCACTGTTACACAATGTACTATTATAATTGCTTTTTAATTTTAATTTTAATTTTCTATGTATATAATTTAAGACGGTTGCGTGCGTTATAACGCACCAAATATTTCCATAACATTAAAAATAAATTTTACAAATATTTTGTAAATTCTTTATAAATATTGTCTACTTTCTACTGTCATTTTAAATGTAATTGTTTTAATTTTTATTTCTAATACTAACTAATCAGCCGATCAACTTATGCAATATTAAACAATACAAATATAAACATATATATGCATATATCCTTTATGGGCGTCGACTATAGTGTGGTTGATGTGGAGTACTCCACACTCGAAATTTTTCCGTGTGTGGAATTTCACACTTGAAAATCCAAAGAATATAAAAATTCTTGATGAAATAATTTAATATAGATATTTAATATGCTCATTAAAAATAAAAGTCGATTAAATAAAATATGAAAAGTCATATGTTTATAACTCGATCGGCGGTTGCCACTTTCCGACTATCAATCTATTTACTAGTATTTTACTAGTGTCCAATGTCTTTACACGCCTAAGAAAAGGATAACTTTTTAAAAGAAGACATAGCTGTAAGAGAAATTGTGTCAAAATATACAAAAATGATAGAACTGCTTACAATTCCGGCAACATTCTGTACTGCGGAAAGATCTTTTTCAGCTCTTAGGAAATTAAAAAAACATATGTACATTCTCAACAAAGATATTTCTATTTTGTTGAATAGTACGGCTGTTATACATATTCATTCGGATATTTTAAAAAATCTGGATTTAGAAGCTGTAATGGACGAATTTATAAGCAGGAACAAATTTCGGAGTTCTACATTTTCGTGTTCAACGCAAGTAATAAAAGTACAAAGTAATGAAAAACAAACATGACTAGATTGTCAAAGTATATGCATATATATATATATATGTATCAAAAAGTATATATATATAATATATATATGTCATAAATAAATTTATGCGTTTTGAAGAAGTATGTTGCAAACATATGGAAAAAGTATAAAAATTACAACAGTCTTAAAAAAAACTAGTAATTCCTTACAGCAGATTGTATATACATTTTGCGAGGACTTTATTTTTTTTTTTAGTTGTCAGTTTACCCGCGTGAACTTCTACCTCCACACATAGTGAAACCCCAAGTCAACGCCCTTACATATTATTAAAAAATTCCTAATATATCCCAACATAATCATTAAAAATTATTTTTATTTAGTATTTATTATCAGTACCAATTTTTAAATCGCTCCACTGCACGTTTCCATTGACGCAGTGCATATTTATAATATAATCGCGATTCTTTGTTTGGTTTGAATATTTTGTCCGCTTGATTGAGTTCTAATAGTTCTTCTCTGTCCTTCCAAACTCCTAAAATTATTATATTGAACAATATATTATACATTATCATTGTAAATACAGTTATTCGTATGCAAGCATAACTTTTAATATTCTATTATTATATCTTAAAAGAGGATAAGTTTTCGAATGAACAATACTTCTTTGCATTATACATCTTATCAGAGTTGGGAAAGTTACCTCACGGGTAACTTATTAATAATAAAATAAGTTATTTTTTGTTATAGAAATTGAATACAATTAGTTCGGGTATTTTATTTTTTATACTATATTATATTTTATCATTTGCTTCAATTTTGTATTATGTTTTGTATTATTCACTTTTTGTACTCAATTTTTATAACAAACATATAGGACAATCAACAAAAGTAACTTAAAAAGTATATTTTCCAACTCTGATCTTAATGTTAGACTAAATGAAGTGCAAAATATGTAGAACTTATATAATTTTTCATCAAATTATCTTTATCTATTTAGGATATACATATACAGTATCCCAGAATTCGCTTATACAAAATGTACAATATGATTTTCATTGTGTTAAAAGAAGTAACTTTATTCTCTAGAGTCTAAAAAAATGCATCCAGTAGTTTTTTAGACGGAGCAATTAAAAGTTTGGTGAATGGTCTAAATTATATTTATATATAATCATAGTTTAGGGCAGTACAACACAAAGAACCGCGCGTATCTAAGATATTCTACATAAAAAAATGGTAATATTAATTTTTAATAAATTTTTCTGCTGTAAAATATAAAATGTAGATGAATTATTATAATAATAGAAATTTTTTTTGTACCACATTGTAAACCAGCCAGAAAAGCTACTCCTAAAATGGATATTTCGACAGATATCGGACGCTCCACTTCCAATCCTGTCGAGTCAGCTAACGATTGCATAACAAAATCATTCTTAGTAACTCCACCGTTAACTCTGAAAAATAATATTATATTAAGTTAATACCATATATTATGTATAAATATTATCAATATTAATTTATTAATATTATCAATTATTATCAACGTTATATATTGATATATAAATACAAGTATTACATTAGAAATATCATAATAATAGTTAGAAATTAATAGTACAGTTAAATAAAACATTTCTTTTTCTTTTACAATATAATATTTTTTGTATCATTAATATACAATTCATTAATTATAATTACGCGGATTATAAATAGAATTTTTAAGCACATTATTGTATAATTTTTACTTTATTCTTTGATGAAACGTGAAAGAAGTTTCCTTCCATAAACATTCATAAAGTAGCTGTATCCTGAAAACAAGACTCTCCAATAGAGATCGAATAATGTGCTCTTTTTTTGTGGTGGGCTTCAAACCTAAAAAACCAGTTGCAGCTGCATAATTATTTATAGGCGCCTGAAACAATAAACGATGTATAGTGTAGTAACAAATTTTCGTATGGCTCCATTATTATTCTTTATGTTAATTGTACAATATATCTATATGATTTCTTTTTTTTTCTTAAAGTTATAAAATAAGTAAAAATATTTTTTAAATATCAGTTTAAGTAGAAATTACATAATAATATTTTATACATATTTGTTATTAAAAGGTATAATATAATAGTTACATATATTGTGTCTTTCATTTTTATAGTTAAGAAACATATTTAGAGAAAATAATAAATTTCTTAATTCAATTAAAAAATCGTATATTTTTTTATGTTGAAGAAGTAATTTTATGACATACTTATATACAAATTAATATTAAAAAATATAATTTATTATAATAAAACATACTTGCAGTCCGCTGAATGCGGGGACAAAATATACTCCATCGGTGTCATTAACCGAGTTTGCAGCATCTGATGTTTCCGAAACATTATCTACAATTCCTGCAGTAAACGATAGATAGAAATCAATGTATGTATACATATAACGATATATACATATAAAATTCCTTCAGCGAAATAAAATATTGCTTTCTTCTTTAAAAATTTACATGTAGATATATTGTTTATACAGTGTAAATAAAATGCTTATGTGAACCTCCGCGACTGTTAGTGCGCAAATTGTTTACAAAGCAATAAGGTATAATTTGCAAATAATTAGGATATACTTACTAAATAAAGTCAACTACAGATATATCAATTCTGGATGTAAAACTTTTTTGGTGTGATGATTGTTAAAAATTGACTTCAGTTTGTACTTGACCAATTATCGCAACTTATAAGAACTAAAATCAGAGAAATAAGGCCTCTGTACACGGTCAGTAATACTGTCAATATCAACGAATATTGACAATATTATTGATTGTGTGTGGTTAATATTAATGGATTGACGTAGAATACTGACGATGATTTGGATTTAAGTACATGCTTTTTCCTTAAGATCCATGTCGTCATAGATGATAATATACGTCAAACTGAAGTAAAATATTATCAATATTACCTGATCGTATAAAATTGTAAAAACTAATGCATACTGTCAGTAATACTGATCAGTAATACTGACTCAGTATTACTGACCGTGTAGGGAGGCCTTTAAACTCATCTGCAGTTAACTTTATTTGATGAAAATAAAGTTAACATTCCAATTATTTGCGAATTATGTCCCATCGTTTTTATTTAGCAATTTATGAATAAAGAGTACATTAAACTAATTTTAGTTAAAAAGATTAAAAAACTAATTTTTTACTTAAAAAGATAAATTGTTATCGTATATGTCATAATTAAAATAAATTATCTTAAAAATAAATGAAAATAAAAATTCTTATTATTTGAACTTACAAAAAATATTCATATAATTGAGAAATTTAGTTTTCAAAATCAACAATGTATAAAGCTCTTTATTTATGTCAGACCAGAATATATTTATTATGTTATTGTATAAAGTTACTAATTAAAAAATTTATTTTCTATAAATAAGATTTTTTAATAAAAATTTCTCCTGTACAAATACATTTTACACTTGCAAACAAATGTAAATTATATTATATTGTATAATAATATATTATGTGTGACATATAGGATAATTTAATTTGACTTGTAAATAAATTTATAAATTTGATATACATATAATATTATATGACGTAAAATAAATATATTTTATGATATAACCGAGAAATTGATAAATTACCTATTGATTTAGCCCATTCAATTAATATACCGGTGTCACTTGAAGATCCTTCTACAGTGTATACTAATTCTTTTCCAATTCGCCATCCGACAACTGGATAAAGTCCTACAAAATAATTTTTCAATTTTACTTCTGTTATTCTTTAAATTATGTATATGTCGTAGGAAAATAGTAATTTTAAGAAAATAGCTTTTGACAAAGCTATTGACAAATAAACAAGCAATTTAATAATTTTTTGTGTTAATAAGCTTCTAGTAAGAATATTCTTTATTTGAGTTGACGTAACAATAATAAGTACCTTGAAATTAAAATTTCTGAAATATAAATAATCTATTATAGAAATAATAAGATAATTAACTAAAATATACTAAAAACCTATCCGAACATTGCAAGTTTTAAGAAGCACATGCTATAGATGTATTATTAATGTGAACTTATGGAGATAAAATGAAATAAATATATATTATCAGATATATAAGTCTAATCAATCCAGTTGCTAGTAAACTATTTATTGTTGCGCTTAAACATATATGTTAGTTGAGCAAAATAGTTATAAAACAAATACTAAAATGCATCATGCATGTTTCGCTATGAATACGATTTGTCTAACAGCGGTTTAGTCAAATGCCTATTTGCCTAGGAAAATAACATTTAACTAAGAAAATAACATTTGAAACAGGTGAAAACCATTTGTTCAGGCAGATAACATTTGCCTGGTCAAAAGCTATTTTCCTAAAATTACTATTTGTCTACATATACATTATTTTTAGCAATATGTAATAAAAATTTGCAAAATTACCAGCAATGGATGCGTGTGGTGATTGTCCTGTATTAACGTTCACGAAAGTGCCTGTCCCCATAGTAATTTTGAAATCGCCGGGATTAAAACATCCTGAACCAAATAAAGATGCTGCTTGATCGGCCATCTAATTTATCAAGATTATTAAAATTAAACTCTGAATATTAACTCTGAAATTAATTCATATAATCGTTGTGTTACGAAATTAAACAAGGGTTTGCTCAAAAATATTAAAAAATTTTTCATGTTATTTTTGTACTTACTGAACAACAAATTGGAATTTCAACTCCGAATATGTCTTTGGGAGTAACTCCAAAATAACCTGCTGTATCAACTACTTTTGGAAAAATGTTTTGTGGCAATTTAAAAATACTGAAGAGCCATTTAGCCCATTCCATTGCAAACGGATCATACATACCAGTAGCTGAAGCACTTGAAACATCCATTATATGTTTTCCTATAACACAAATAAACTGAATATTAATCGGTTACATTGATTATAATATAATGAATAAAAATTATAATTATTATTACCGTATTTTTACTGTAAGAAAATATAATTGTTACATATATGACGTTTATCCTATATGTATATTTTATACGGTGTCTGATAATTAATTGTAAAATTCTTGCATAGAGGCAGAATGGATAAATTGAGAAAAAAAGTTTTCTAACATTTTACATTTTTCATATTAGTTAATGAGTTATTAATTGATAAAAATAATCAAATTCGCCCAGTCTACTGCAAAATGCAAGCGCATGGCAAGATACGATCGTCCAGAAAGACGCACGTTCTTGATCGCTATAAGGCACGTTCATATCAATGCGATTTGTAAATAACGTGCCTAGCGACCAAGAACGTGCGTCTCTCTGGACGGTCTTATCTTGCGTTGCGCTTGCATTTGGCGGTAGGCAAATTTGATTATTTAATTATCAGACACCCTGTATACATGTTGCTGTTACATACAACGTTTTATTAAGTTTTATAAGAAAAATATTACTTAACATTACTTTACTGTTATAAGAATTATAGGATACAAATTTTACAGCAAAATGTAAAGTTTTACCTGTTAATTTATATAAGAGCCAACAATCCACACCTCCAAACGCCACCTCTTCATTAGCCACAGCTTCTCGGAGACTTGGTATATTCTGGAGAACCCATACTAACCTTAAAGTCACCTGAGAATTCAAGAAAAGTAAATTAAAATTCTAGACGATCATTATTTAATGAAAAAATCTTGAGAAAGTCTACAAGTTCCATTACAAAATAATAATTTAAATTTGATAAAACGTGACAGTCTAACGTGATCAGATTTAGACAAAAAATTGACTGTTATAGCATTTCAACCTGTTGATTCATAAATTTTAGCACGCTGCCAGCTAAAAATCTTTTTCTTCTTGTGAATATATACAATATCTTCGAGCCTATTCTTAAACATTTCATCGTTATTGATTGATTCCATTCCTTGACTAAAGTAGCCGCTCGTTGATCCTTCCATGTTATAAACCTGTTAAAAGCAACCATAATTATAATATATATTTTGATGCATCCTGTTTAACACAACAATTATAGTTAATTGAATATGTACTGCGTACAAAATCTCATGAATTAATTTTGTAGTTAATAAGTTTAAATCAAAACGTCTTTATCGTTGCGTTTTAGTAGCATTCTTGTACCTGTGATAGTATTTCCCAGTTTTTAAATTCCAAGTAACAAAACTTGCGCGTTGCGATGAAATTCCAATGCAAGTAATATTTTTCGGGTCGATTCCGCTACCTACAATCATAAATAAAGCGAATTAATCAAATTACTGATACAGAAATAGGTTGTAAAATAAAACAAAAATAGACTAAGTATGTGAAGGATATCAGTCATAAGCAGCGGAATCTAAAACTAAGATATATCACTATTTATTTTTTATATCTATTTTTAATTTTTTTTTGTGAACAAAATTGATAAATTATAAATGATGTAATTAAATATTTGAAATATGAGATACCCCCAGAAAGATGCTCGCATGAGTTTTTTAAAAGCAAAAAAAAAATATTTTATTATCAAATCAATATATAAAGAAAAGATTTTATTTGTTGCTATAAAATGCGATTTCAGTAAACCTGAAAATTCAAATTTTATTAAAATAATAATATGAATAACAAGCATTTATTATTTCTTACTTTCGATGCATCCGATTGGCGTTTATCTTAGTTTACAGTGGATATCTTTAGAATAGTTTAAAATATAAAAATAAGGCCTGATACACTTTCGGTGAGTAGCTAAAGGTTCAATTCAAGCCTCAGTACATCATGCAGATTATATTCGATGCTATTGCGTAAAAATTTATTAATCAATAACCTTACATTTACAAATTAAACATGAACATTAAAAGACTATGCGCATTAGCCGTCTTTTATAAGTTTTATATAAGATTTATATAAGATTTATATAAGATTTATATAAGATTTATTTAAGATTTATTTATATGTGATTAGAAAAAATACGATTAATCGCGATTCAATTGAAGCTTTATCTATGCATCTACTGAAAAATATATAAAAAATCAAACTTTTCTGTATTCATCCATTCTAGATGATAGATTATAGAGAATCGAAATTATCCACATCCACGTGTTTTTTAAAAACAATTGATATACTTTAGATATTTTTATATATACTTTTTTCATTACAGCATTTTTAATGGGAGGAGAAATTACAGTTTTTTTTTCTAAAATTGATACATAATACATATGATGCCACATATGAACTTTCTTAAGAAAGAGTTTATTAAATTTTGATGCTCTGCAAAATAAAATATTATTATAATAATAACTTACGATCCAACGTATCCTTCATTACTTTTACTATACTTTGCCATAGTTCATCAGGATCTATCTCCACATAGCCAGGCTTTGGATATATTAAATTTACCTAAATTGAAAAAAGATTTTATTTTTATTTCATTTTATCTTTATTTTTATTTATCTTTATTTATTTATAATTTAGTCATCGATTTAGCCATTATTTAATTTAATAACTTTAAAATTGTAACTTAACATTGATTTTATTTGTTTTTTTCGGAAAAAGATATTAACAAAAATTTTTAATTAAATATATTCTAATTTTTAATTTTTTAATTATGAATACTATAATACTATGTTGTAAAATAATAAAACATTTGCAAAGGTGAGTTTATAAGAATATAGAAAATCAAGAAAAATTTGGACTATCTTTTTAAAAAAAATATTCTAAAACTAATTTTAATATATTATTTACAAATAAATAACTTAAACAAATGTTTTGTTATAAAACGTTATATATATATATATATAAGATAAGTTATTACACATACATAGACTGTTAAAAAAAACAATAACATTTTTTAATACAAAGAAGCTGCAGCATTATTTGTGTAATTATATTTAGAAGTAAAAAATTCTATCATATTATACAAAGTAATTTATAAGAAAATCTGGTTAATAATCGAGCTAAATAAAGGATGTAAAACTTTAAGACATCTATTACATATTTCAGTACGTTTCGTGTGTGTGTAATCACTGATCCTTCTTCAGCATATAATTTAATATCAGTTTGTAATATAAATGAAAATATAAATATAAATAAAAAGCAATTCAGTATGTGTGAAATAAAAAATATTCTATTATCGATAACAATGAAAATAAAACTTTTGATGATTAAATCGATGTTTAACGTTTACATAAGTAAATACAATCTGCTATGTTGTGACCTTATTAATCTGCAGAAGAATTACACTGTAATAACTTGTGACCTTGAAAGAATTATGTTCTTCCATTCACTTTTTTCTTCACCTGCTTTTTATACGTGCTACTGTGTGAAATAACATTTTATATACTTCTTAAAAAACTGCTATCAGTTTATGCTAAATAAATATATATTTTTTCTCCGACGTATATGCATTTTCATAGATCTATTTATATTTGGCGTAGAATATATTATCGTTTCATGATAATTTGAAAATAAATATAAAATATAAAGCGGGGCTATTTTGTTCATTTCACAATATTGTTTATGTTTTTAAGCAACATGAACATTTATAGATTATATTTATACTCTTAAGAAGCAATATCATGATTGTGTATAAAATATATGTAGTATAAATAGATTACTATGCCAAAAGATATTCGAAATTGGTTCTCTCTCTACCTTAGCAAGACTTTACCACTTAAAAGAGATGATTTTTTATCTCTGACGGGAAATTAATTCTGTTATTATTTATATTGATTTATTATGTTATGCATAAAAAATTCTTTACAAAATTTTTTACAAATGTTACAAAAGGCATTGCTATTGACTGCGTTCAGCAGAAAAAGTAGTTTTGCAACTGTTGTAAAATTCTTCAATACTATTGATTTTTATTTTTGATTTTTTATTTATATGTGTAAATTATATTGAAGAATTTCAAAACAGTTGCATATAAAACTGCTTTTTCTACTGAACGCAATGATGTATGGTAAAAAAAGAAAATGAATGCGCGTGTGATTTCTTTATCCATTTATTATGTAACGATGTATTATAACAACTGAGATTAACATAAAAACAAATTAGGCTTGCTCATTTTTTAAACCGTGAATTACTGATAAGAAATTAAAAATGATTGATTTGGTATTAATTTTAATTTATCAATTTTGTTATCAACGTCATTGAAATATAGCTTTTACTAATTTTCGTGTATGTAAAATACAGTAATTTATAAAATGTATTATGTACCTAGAATAACATGAGCATCAGAGAGAGAGAGAGAGAGAGAGAGACAGAGAAACTTTGTACATTACTATAATTTAAAATCAAAATAAAACAAAAACCGAAACAAAAATACATAATTATATAAAGTTGAGGAAAAAGTCTTTTTTACATATATGTAAAAGGATCTTTGTTTTACAATATTTTCGTTAAAAATAAACGAAAAAATAATTTTAAAAACGAGCAGTGCAACCATCATTCATATGGGATCAAGTTCATAAAATATGTTATTGCGTGTGTATGAATATGTAATTTAATGACAAAATTTTAATTTGAAATTATTGGGTTGGGAAAAGTCGTTTTATATATGTATGTAAAAGGACCTTTCCCCAATTCATCATTTGTTGCGAAATTTTCGTTGCAATTATACCATAGATGGAGCAAAGTTTCACCTTTAAAAATCTGTTTTTTTAATTACTGTATGATGATTTTTAATGGAATTATGAGCAATTAAAATCAGAATGCTCTTTTCCTTAACTCACGAATAACTCAAGAACAAAAAGTAGGGACATTTTTATAAAACAATTTTGTAGGGAAAGCTTCAAGCTTTTACAATAGGTATAATTCATCATCCGACTTTTTGTAGGGAATTAATTGCAACAAACCTTTTCTGTTGAAGAAGCTACTGTGATTGCTTTTTCATTCAGGATGTGAAACTGTATTGTAGTGGTACCAACATCGAGTGCCGCGACGTATCTCATGATAATAGCTCACTCTTTTTCAGTGTCAATTCGAAAATTCTACCTCGATTTATTCACGCGTATTTACGCATTCACATTCGACTCGATTGTTATCTTACACTGAATCGCGGCGCTTTGCATGGACAGATATCGATTAATACTTGCAGTGTAACATTTTCACTAAGTATTATAAACCAGGAAATAAACGTTACGAAGAAATAAATTGCAATAAAAAGAAAAATAATGACGCCACCAGTATTTGGTCAAAGTACGTTGAAGCACATTAATTTATCGTGACTCGACTGTATCTTTACGTTTGACCTCGTAGGAGGTTTTATCGAGACTACACAGCGCGTCATATAATGATGCGATGAACTCCCGGCTCGTATTCACCAGAAGTGAGTGGGGCACACGTAGATTATCGGAACGAGTGTACCGCGTCGAGTCTACTTCTTGTCGATTATAAGCCGTAGCACAGACTTTTGCATATGCTACATAAGGCATAAAGCATAAGAGACTCAACCAATCAGAGTATGAAATGAAGGATTCTAATTGGTTAATTTTCTTATCTAAATCTTATGCGTTATCCAGTCATAAAAATTTGCTACGGTCTTATGACTGAAACATGCTGCTAAAAAATCATTTACTAAATTTATTCTCATCACCGTTTTTCGCCATGCAAATTTAATCGATAATCTAACTTTCAGAGACTGAATATAGCTCTGCGGCCATAATGTTCGCTGTAATTGCGATCAATATATGATTTAATTTAATAACACTAAAAATACTTCTACTATAAATTTTTTTATGAAATTCTTAATATAATAAAATTTGATATATAATATTGAATCATCAGTTTGGAATTTAAACAGCTTTATCATCGTCCACGTAGCACATTTTATCGAAAGGATGTCTTGGGAAACGCCCATAGAAACATCTTCTGAATGTCTTTATAGTTTTTAATTTTATGTAGTTTTACTGAAATGATAAAATCTTATATCTAAAATTAATTTCCATAATCCATAACTAATTCTTATTTTTTTAGAGACATTCGAAAATGAATGCTAACAATTTGTTTTAAATTAGACAAAAAATTTCAAAGAAAATCTATTTTTAAAAATAAGTATAATATAAAGATAAGTTTGCTATACACAGAGTGTCAAATTCATGATCAAAGTGCCACAGTAAAATTTTCAAGAAAAAAAAGTAAAAAGATTATTTACCATTTTTAATTTTTTAGTAGTAGTTTTGATATAAAAGTTTAAAAGTTACAATTTTGTCCAATTACACGAAACGGTTATTTGTTCGTGAGTTACGTATCTAGTCAATAATCGCACATGGTACCTCACGAATACCTAATCATCTAATCGTAATCTATGACAATAATATATAGTAACAGCTATTGTGTGTGCGTGCGCGTGTGCGTGCGTGTGTACGTGCGTGCGTTTTTATTTATAAATACCTACACAGCAGTCAATCTAATTCATTACATATCACAATTAAAGATTAAAGTCCGCGCGTATTCAAAACGCTCTTTTACGATATCAGCACATATTTGGTATGTAACGTCATATAATATAGAATTTTAGATATAAAAACGTGTATTTATAGATAAAAACGCATTCTAAATATGGACATACATAATCTTTAATTGTCTTATAATTGTCATTTATAAAAAGAGATATAAGATTATATATTATGAAATTTACAATTATATTATCTACAGTCGATATGGTAAGTTCAGAATATTTCTTATGATTAAATGACTGCTTGTTCGTGAGTTACACATTAATAGTTAGTAATCGTATATGGCATCTTATGGATAGACTGTTTAATCTATAGCTGTTTTAAACTTTTATCTCAAAAACTATGGCTTGGAATGGCAAATAAGTCTTTTGACATTATTTTTCGAGAACTTTCTGTACTAAGTTAAATCTTTCTCCTCCTCCTCCTCCTCCTC